AGCACACGTCTTTTGTGGCAAGTTTATAACACATTGTTCACATTCACTTTCTTCAATTCTTTTTTAATTTGTACTTGTCATAAGGGGCCAGCTGTGCTGCACAAATCTGTGCTTTGTAAGTGGAACTGAAATCAATTCATTTAACATGAAGTATTTTAGTTTGTCAACATAAAGTACCCATCAGCCATCCTCAACTTAGACTAGGTGATACCTTTACTGCTGACCACGGTTCGCAATCCATTATTTTTCAGGCTCCCCTTATGTAATAACTGTTTCCTAAGAGTAATCTTTTCTACCCAACCTTTTTGAAGCGACTCGACACAACTGTAAAATCCTACCGACGGTGGTATTTCCTTCTACAGTTATTCAACACAAAGCACAATGCTGGCACTCAACAATACATTACGTTTAGGACTTCAGAAAGTCTCTCACAATAGTCTCATGTACCAAACATGACAGAATGCAGGTGGCACTAATCAAAGATTTTTTTAGCCCTGTGAGATACGGACAATTTAGCAGAGGATTCCTGGACACTTTGGCAGTCACCTGCCCACAACCCCACTTCATGAATCAGAACGTCCCAACAGACAGATGTGAGACTGATGAATTTGCCAGAGGTCTTTGTACAAAGTCAGTTACAGAAGTAGTTAGTAGAAAATACACATTAATAACTTCTTAAAACAGAAAACCAACTTCTTCCAAAAGAGGAAGTTAAAAGTAATAAAATCTCACCTCAAAGTTAGTTCTCTTCAAATCTGACAGTAGTTAGGTATGGGCAAAATAAACTTACAGGAAACTCAATACTCAAAGAAGTACTCACCACTGGTATTTTTAATTTTGAAAACACGGGAATATGAAAGAAGTTTCAAAATTTGGAAGTTCAAAAAAGAAACGATCACTGGATCATAAGACGCAGAGATGGAGGAAAGAAGAGTAATTTAAAAGTCAACCTTAAAATCCTAATGATCACCATTTAATTGCAAGGCCTACAAAAGTGTTTCTACATAATGACAAAATATCCCATTCGTTATCTCAAAGACAAAACCCACTCACACTCACCAGAGAAAACTGGGATCAGAACATGAAGGATGAGGTTGAAAAAAACCCAACAAACACTATGTTCAAATTAGAAACAAGGAAAAAGTCTAGTCAGAATATTTCTGGAAGAACATGATTGCAGTCAACAAGCATCAAGGCTTGTAGACCTGGATTGCTCAATAGTAGAGAGGAAAACCTGATCAGTGAATAAGACGGTAGTGAAAAGGAGACTTAGTTTGTAAGTCAAGAATTTCACAGTCTGCTACACGCTCAAGAATTTGGGAGAAAGTTTGGAAGCAGCATCAGGGCAAAGACAGACAGGACTCTGATGGCAGTATGCGAAAAAGCATTAAAAAAAAAGAGGAGAGCAAGAAGGAAAATAAGTCTGCCATGGAACTAACGGAAGCTCCACAGAAGGCAAGCTTGAGCTAATGCCAAAGCAGGCTGATGTTGCTTCTCTTCAGAAAGCTGCCCTGACTTTTGATCACATACGATGGTCCAGAGTTTAACAGTTGCATCTGACTATAGTGCAAAATTAAGTGACATCTCTGTATGGTTCAAGATTTTCAGTTACAGGGTGGTTGGTGCAAATCAGCAAACCACCACATTTTCCTTCTGAGCTCAGAAGAACACTCAATAGCTGCAGTGAGAACACACACCGAACTGGAGTCCCGGTACCCAAGCCAAATCCCTCCACTTTAAGAAAAGATCCTTGGAAGCACTCTGGACTTATTTCCAATTGTTTTAAGGATGCTTCTAGGAAAATTTTACATGCTTTTCCTACAAATTTGACAGCTCCAGAAGACATCAGGGAACATCAAGCAAACATGATAACTAAGTACAGTGTGCTTGCCACCAAGTATAAGATAATGTGGTTGAGATCCTGTATCAGGGTACTGCTAGGCTGGATCTTTACCTCCTCATAGCCACTGGATTTTCTCCCTTCTCCTCCTTTTATGGTGCTACAGGGCAAAATAACACCCTGAAAAATAATACAATTAACAAAGCACCAAGTGCCAAAGATTGACTCAGTGTGACACAGAACAGTATCTGCAGCAAGTGTTGAGGAACACGTGAAAGCAAACACTCAAACGTGATGCTTAGTTGCACAGACCACTACTAACCCAGAGAGAACAGGGAGTTCAATGGGTCCAGAAGCCTATGTCAGGGCTGGAAATTCTCTTTCCTCAAATGCATAAGGTTAAAAAAGAAAAAAAGTGCTGGCTTTACCTGTCAAGAGAAAATGCAGGAGAAAAATCGAGTCTCAACTCCAGTGAGCTGAGAGAATCAGCTGAGAAAGTGGCAGCAACGAGCACACTGAGCACACTAACCCGACTTACAACTTCACGAGGAGGAACTTCGCATAACTTTGCTGAAGACTCAGACAAGCCAAGCAAAAGGATAATGACTTGATAAAACAATAAGTAAAATAAGGAACGTTGGCTGGAGTGCTTTGGGCAGCTGTGGGGAGAGCTTGTTCACTGACCAAGGATGACCTGCGCAGGAAGAGACAGTCCCAGAATCATGCTCTGAAATAGTACCTCAAGGGGCAAAAAAGTTTTGGAAGAGTTGCTCTAGTAGCATGAGCTGTAAATCTGGAAAGAGCTTCTTGGGAAAAAATATCTATTCTTAGAGTAGCAAGTATATTTAATTCACTTTGCAAGTTGCTCAACACACTGATAGCTAACAAATACAGTTTGAGATTATCTCCTTTGTTATAGTAAAGTCACTGTGACAGATTATGCCTAGCCTGACAGATTTTTATTTGCTGTATGAATATTAATGATTGTAGTACTCTCTTCTCAATAGTTGTGTTTAACATATGTTTCCATAATTACGCATCATGCTGCACATAATGCACCTCTCTCTCTGGCAGTAATTTTACCACTCAAGATATTGTTACCCTTGGAAAGAAAAGGTTAACTGGCATGTGTGCATGAATTTTGTGACCTTCATCAGGAGAGAACCTTTCAATTAACATAGTCATTAAAGTTTGCCGTAAGCAAATAGATTTGCTGTAGCTAAGAATGAACTTTACATGGCAGGAAGAGAAAAAGAAGGAACAAGAGCCAGGCTCAGCCTTGCACTGTAGGAAATACACAATCTTTAGTCTGGTTTAGGGAACAATAACATAACGGACAGTGCATCATTCCGTATTAGTAGGGAGCCCAGAAAGAACAAGTGTTATTATTTCCCCAAGAGCAGAAAAGCAGTTTTCTAATATATAACCTTTGAGGGAAACTGCCACGACACTTGTTTATGCAGCTCAGCATTCAAACTATCACAAAAACTTCTGATATGTAAGGACCCTCTAAAGCAAATTTTATATAGATGCTAATTTTTCCTTATTAATATAAATAACACATAATTATGTAAGATGCATTTGTGTTTAATCAAATTAACTTGTTTACAGTTTGCATCGTAGCAGCACTAAAACTCAGCAAACTGTTTAGACTGTGATGACAGCAGCAATAGTAACAGTTGTCATTAAAAGGTCAGTATTTATCAGATGCCCTAGCATAGCACCACGCTAATTCTCTTAGCGCAACACCTGGGAACCTGTCACAACACAATCCAGAACTTTAAGGATAACACTATAGCTAAAGCTGTAAGAAAACACAGGGTGGAGGACTGGGAAGATAATCGTTATTCAGGGTCGGTAGAGTTTTTAATACAGTCTGTGTTATCAAGACTAGATATCATTACTGTCTCACATCCTGTAAACAGCTTATGTAAAATGAATTGGTTTCAGCACAGTTTGCAAAAAGCACTGATTTCCGTGTTGAGAACCACCACCACCCATCTTTCTGAACATTTCAAATAACCTGTGGAATAAAGAATGTCACCAGAGATTGTTCTTCCCTCAATAATTTTCAGGGAGATTCTGAGGTGATTTTGTAGGTGTAAGTCTCTTCGTAGGCCTCTCTGTCAGGTTGTAAGTCCCCTCTCCTACTGAAGATCTAGCTGCACTTTTTCTTACATCCTTTTCTTTAGTCGCTTTGAATCTTGGACACCACAAACTTCTGGAGCCTTATCCTTGGTCATTGGATGGTGCTGGAAAATTTGTCATACGTGATCACAGAAAAGGAAGCTCATCGGAGAAGCTATTTATGACTGTGTGTGCCTGCTCTTTGACTTAACAAAAATACCTCAGCTTCTCAGTCCTATTTAAGTTCTGAACTTTCACCAAAATCTTTAAGGAGCTCAAAACCAAACCAGGAATTAAGAGCATAATTCTTGAAGATTTTGGCCTTGGTCCTGCCTGATCATTAATTTGGGCAAGGATCACTGACTCTGTGGGCTCTTGCAGAGTGAAAGCCTTTCTGTACTCTGTTTCTTTTTTTTTTTTCCCCCATTTGTAGTTCCATTGCATTACTGATTCCTTAGCAAGTTTTCTTTTCAAGTGTAATATTGGGGATGACCATTGCTAATTTCTATGTGGGAATCAAATCATTGGTCGTTTCCGCAAAGATTAAATTCCCCACAAGATTAGAAAGAGAAGAATAAAGCAATACCTAATTATCTATCACATTCCTCTCTACAGCTTTCTAAACAGATAGTGGAAATCATCAACATTTCTACACTGCGTACAGTTTAGACCTGTGTATCACACTCCTATTTCTGAACCTACCTTGTCAAGGAAGGTGGGGCGGTCCATGGAAGACTCTTTGGAGATTGGTGGTGGGCGGCAGCCAAGGGGTTTGGTGACCATTCCGTTATAGTCGGTCACTCCCATTCCACGCTTGTCCATTTCCACCTTCTTTTCCAGCAGAGCACCTTCACAGAAAGGGGAAATATATCGAAAAAGGTGATGCAAAGACAGTGAATTTCCCAACAGTAGTTCAGAGAAGTAGGTCTTGCTTACAAAAGCAAAGTAATTATTATCCAATTGATCTGAGTAAGACCAAACTCTCATGCATGGTTCTTGCGTTGCTTTAAAGAAAAAAAAAAATTCGTTACAAAGGCACTTACTCATGGCCTGATCGAGATTCATATTGTTGCTCTTCAAGGCCTCTTCAGCTGGCTCTCTCTGTCAAAAATACAGATTATGTTAAGAGAAAAAGTAATCATGCTTATATGATTTCAAAGCAGACTGAGAAAACAGGTAAGTCTCTCAAATACTGGATTTAATGTTTACTCAGCAGCACAAATAATGTCTATGCACATTTTTTTTCTGCTTTCAGCAATTCTTGCAACAATTCAGTTACTTTCAGTTTGTCAAGTAAGTTTCAGTTCTACAAGGTCAAATCATACTGTCCTGTTCAAACGTCTTCTTGTTTCCTATGGACAACTTAAGTATCACACTATGATATGCCTTTCTCTAAAAAAATGAGCTATACTCTAATTTCACTTGTTTAATAAGGAACAGGAGAGGAATTATTACCAAAGTTCAAAGTAACACCTGTTGTTATAAAACTGAACTTCAAAAGATCTACAAAAGGTCATCACAGAAAGCGTATCATCGAGTCATCCCAGAGAGCTCTCTACTAGCTTACGGTAGATTTCCGCAACTAGAGTACGTGTCTAAATGCAGGTAACAGAACTGCTTCCTGGCCTGAAGAAGAGATTGAAGATCCTTTTGTAGCTACAGTCTGAAACACTGAAAGTCAGAGCTACAAAAGCTAAGCCACAGCTGTGCTAGCTATGAACACTACTCACAGGGAAGCCCATGTCTGTGAGCTGTTTAATCAGACGGTTCATGATCCAGGCCTCATCTTGCTTGCTAGATGTCTTCATGCCCTTAGTAAATAAACGGGAGATTCCATTAATGGTCTGGTTCCCATACTCATACTAGCGAGACGTACATAAAATACATGGTAAGTTTTTCTTATTAATAATACATGCTACTGAAAGATATATTAGTATATTAATTTAGAAAGTATTGAAGAACCCTCCGAACAACGTAACTACGATTCTCTTCCCCCACAAAGTGTATAAATTTTATCTCAGCTGGAAAGGTGTTCAGTGTACTATTTAGTATTTGATTTGCTGGCCACTGAATTAAAGCCACCTTTGAATTTACGTTTTTCATTTTAATCCTTGGCAGAAAAAATTAATGAAATAAAAGTTTCTGAAATAGTACAACACTTCCTGAAAAACATTCCCAAAAACAAGTTTGCAACCTTGAAGTTAAGAATGTTACTCAGTGAATTTTCTTAAAAACAAACAAGAGCGTCTAGATAAACACCTTTAAAAGATCTCTGTGCAGCTTTTCTATCACAAAATCCTTAAGAAGTCTCTTCCTTTCAGTTCTCCAGAAAGTACCAAGGGACAAGCGTGGATTTGTTTTGGGCTGCGGACAGTACAAGAAACAACCATACTTGATCAAATCACTGGCCTAACTGTTGGCTAATGGAATAACAAAACAAACTGCCTAAATGCATTCCCAATTCCTTTAAGTTACAGCCTGGCCTTGTCCTGAAATCAAGACTGCGCAACAGAAAACTTCCTAACATAACCGTCTACGTTCTGCTCGAGTGCGGCATTAACACGAGTTTGCTTTGTTCTCGTACCAGTACACACCTTACAACTACCCGTTTGTTCCTCACAAATAGGAAACAGTTATTTTTTTGCTGAATCACTTCATCACAAACTACTGTTTGCTTTTCTACCACCATGAAAGGTGTCTGAAAGCCCCCTTAACACCTTTTTTGTTTCTGTTAACACACTATCATTTCTTTAGAATACATGGCAGCTTATAAAACTTACGAGAAAACAAAAGCAACAGCAACACAACTCCCGAAGCATCTGACACGCTTAAAATCAAAGATTTCCTGTTTTCCCCTGGAAACAAGGTAGGCTGTACTTGAACCACTGTAGTGGCAAGCAGTGTTTGTGTTCAGGTGTTAGAGGTCTAATTTAAGAGTACAGGTATAACGCAACAGAAAATTTGTGACAGCTTATTCTAGAAATGTTATCCTAATTCCACTCTTTTCTAGAGAGTATCTCTGTTTTTGTCTTACCTTTTGAAGTCCTTTCTTCGGGGCGTTCCCCCAGGAATTACAGGAGGAGCTGCTCTCTTGTGAAGCAGTATTATTCCACATATCTCCTTCTTCATCTTCCCACTGACTAGTACTGAGATTCACTTCATCCCCACCACTGCCCCAGCCTTCTTGCATAGATTTTGAAGCTGGAGGGAAAGCAAAGGAGGAGAAGAAAAATCTTATTCAATTTCCTGCAAATTTTACAGAAATATCCTTTTATGCCATATTCAGCACACTAACATTTGAGGACTTTCAAGAGAGAGAGGTTCATCAAGTAGCTTAATTAGTATAAAACGATAAGGATGTCTTCTCTGAAGCTAGCAAAAAAGAAAAGTTCTCTAAATATTTTATAGAAGAAAAAGTCCAGCAACAGCAAGTCTTGCCTTTTCCTGAACAAATAAGATCTGTGGTCATGGTCATTCCAGTCTCCTAGGAACACGGAACCAGAAGTATGACCACACACTTGTTAAGTGCTATTTTGCTTTCAATGAATCTCACCATTTTAGCTGCCACATTCTTCCAACGAACAAAACCAAATTTTGAGGTCATTAACGGTCAGAAACTCATTCCCATCTCAGATGAAGGGAATCTGAAAGGAGGCACACAGGCTGCAAGGAATACTTTAAATTCAGTGACGAGGTTGTGTCACCTCATTCCATTTTATTCTGTTTAAAGCTGGGATTACTCATGTTAAGACCTCTCACTCCTCTTAGGTTTTCTGGGCCTTCTAACTATCTCTCAGTATAGTATTTTGCAGGAGTGAAACTTAAACTTCCATACACAGCCAGGACAGAAGTTTAAACCAAGCACTGTAGCCTTCAGGGCATTTAGAGATGGAGCATGTCTATGAAATAACACTAGTTAGGACTCGCGAAGCAGTAGTAGCTCAGGGTGTTCCTGAACCTGTGAACAGTTTTAATAGCTGAAGAAGATATCCACTCCCTCGGTTATCCGAATAGCGAGGTTATGACTAGTCATTCTCATGTGTTGTGTCTCCTACCAGAATCGATCCTACCTTGACTGAGCTCAGTTGCTTCTCATCCCAATACAGGTTTCTTTTAGGCACCATGGGGTAAGTACTATTCACGTTCTTCAGCAGTGTCACAGTTTCCGGTACCTCTACTACACTGCTTTCAAAGCACACAAAGGTACTCTAAGGAATACCTTTAAATTCACTGGATCAATGCATTATACTCCTATTTTTATATGAATTTGGTGTCTGGAACATCAATATTTTGAGGATGAAATTATTAAGACAGTCTCTGATTTAAATGCACAGAAAACCAGAAGCGCTGTTTAAAAATACTGGCAGAAACAAACACACTTTGCCTTTTTTCCCCAACCTCTTATGACGGTGACATCCACGCACGTACCTGGTTTGCACAGTGCTGGGGCAGCAGCTGGAGCATTTGTTCTTCCGTATGTCCCTGCGGACTCGGCAGGATTATCTCCCCACCCTGTACCACTGCTGGGGGGTTTCCCCCATGCTGAAGTGCCATTATCAACTGCAGCAGAAGGGGATGACGGCTCTCCCCAAGAAGCTTCGGTCTTTGTGTGGACAGTAGGCATTTCTCCCCAGCCTGCTGAAGCAAGGGGAAGGAGAGAAGAACAGTGATCAGAGGAAAAGTTTCTTTTGGCAATAATTTCAAAGATGGACATGTTATTGAAGTGTTTGTCTGGAAAGAGCATGAACCAGTAAGTGGACACTGATTCTAATTAAGCATATTTAAAAAAAAATCCCTTTGATTTGGTCTCAAAAGCCTTTTTCTTAATTGAATACGAATGCCAAGTTGTCAAGACAGAAGAGTATTTTTTAACACAGCCAGGAGCAGTCAGGCGGCCACGTGAGCACCAGATCTCGTCCCAGGGGAGCAGTTGCTTACATTGTGACTTCTCAGGGCAGCCAAACAGGCTTGGGGAGCACAGCAGCCGTGTGGGCATTCAGGAGACCAGGACCCAAATCCGAGTTGGGTCTTGCTTCACTGAAAGATTGTAAGCTATTTAATTCAACTATTTACAAACTATCAAATCTCTTTTCTCATGCCCTACAAGTAAAATGATATTTGTTACCACCTTCAACGTAGATTCTGCATGTTGTACGCACTCCTTAAAGCTTTTATTACAGCTCGTGGTTGACTTGACTGTGTTCCCTACGTATCCCTTCATCACTGAGCCTCTAATTATAATAAATATGATTTTTAAGGGGAATTAGACAAGACTGCAGTTAGAATCGTCAGTCAAATCATGAGGAACGGCAGATAGAAGTAATTGTTTTCCTACAGAGTATTATTTTAACTCACCGAAAGACGTAAGCTACTATAAAGAAACAGTCTTAGTCTGGCTTGGCTTGAATCTAATGCTCTTAAATCCATATGACACTGATTTTAGCACTGAGGTTGAACGTGCCAGGAACAGCCATATAGCTTCCGAGTCCTAAAGAGCAACACTGACCAACACAGCAAAAGCGTAAATTTAAAGTGACCATTACCTCTTTAAAAAGTTTGTTTCTGAAGTGACAGATTTGGATCATAGATAGAGTTCAAGGTGCTTTTTTAAAATATATCAAATAGACAGGTAACAGGCAAGAACACACAATTTTTTATATATACCTGATATTAATCTATTTTCCTACAATTATCACAAAAAGCATTCAATTACGTGACAACCGAGATCTCAACAAGCACTGCAGAATTCAGTCTGCTTAAGCCTTCCACTGTTAATTAGGCTGCTAATTCAGGAACTCATTCTCTTTTCATTGGAGGTGAGTATTATCAAGTCCAGGTATTTTATTTTGACCAACTCTTGCCCTGCTGAATCTGTAACTTCTGGCAGCTCACAACATGGACCCAGATCTGGTAAGAAAGAAACTTGGTTTTGCTACTGATCAAAAAAGAGCTTAATTTCTGTTTTCAGCCAATTTTTTATAATTTAAGGACTAGATGCCTACTTTGCTGCAGCACTATTTCTTTTTTTGCTTCCCAGTGCTATCTGTAAAAATACTCTGGAAAGGTTTCAAAGAGTAGAAACAACATTTTTTTACACAATCTGACACCAAAAGCAGGTAGACAATGACAAGGAAGTTGCCACTAAAGAACTTTATTCATGAGTACCTTGAAACACACTAAACTAAGCAATTTCATGGAGCAACAAGGATTTGCAGAACTTCATGATTTCAACAGAATTTCTCTTACTAGAAACTGCAGGCAATGTACATCACCAATAATAAGTCAAACACTGGCTAGCAGAGAAAAAAATTCCTTTCAAATAGATGGGCTCATCTCTACCCACCGTCCCAGTGTTACTGTGTTACATACTTATTTTAGGCTCTATTTCTTAAAGCAACTGCAGTTCCCTCAGATACCGATAAAAGTGCATACGACATAACACACATCCAAACCAAGCCGACATGTTCAGGAACATGCAGCTTAATAAAGCTCCTTCACTATCAGCAAGATTCATTGTGTTTTAAAACACACTCCTCAACCCAAAATTCCACTGTTTCATTAAATCGATTTCCATTTGATCAAAAATACTGTGTTCTAAGCTCTATCAACGTATCTTAAATTTCTGATTATTTAAAGTGTGTACAGAAGACAAACTTGCAGACACACACACGTAGGTATACACATGAACCTCTACTTAACATGAGAACTTCCTTGGTATTGCACCCAAAATTCTTGCTCGAGCTTTCCGCTTGCCTCTTTAAGCCAACTTTATTTAAGGAATGCTTTATCTGAATTTCTGCCTCACTACTTAGGAGACAACCTTGTCAGACAACTGTGTGTATTTAATCATATTGGCATCTGAAAAGATTAACTGCAGGCAAATGAAAGGGAAAACAAAACATCTCTACAGCACCAACTAGAATACAAATACAAATTAAAGAGAGTGCAGAATACTAATATTTCCTTGAGTTCACACAGCCTATACTGGAACCTCTAAGTAAGCCGATTTATAAAATTAACCTTAAAACACAGTTCATATATTGAAAAGACAAAGTGTGCTAGGTTGTAGAGCAAAAACTCAAAAGAACTGGTCCTTCCGTTGCTCTTTACTACAAATTCAACAACACTGATTAAAGACCACAGATGTGTAACGTCCAAGTTATTTTGAGTTAAGTGCTTTAAATGCGCTGAGCAGTAAATAATACGGGATTACAAATAACGAGGGAGCTGGCCTTTACTGAAAGAGAATACTTGCAAGTACATAAAAGCAAACAAACAATTCAACTAGAAGTTTTAAAAACTATCTTAACAGATCAAATTAAGTGCAGGAAATGAGTAAATAAAACCTGAAGGCTGCTGGAGAAGTAACTTGCGCACTGCAAAAATTAACCTGCGTCTAAATTCCACAGTATTTCTTAATTACGAACCTGTTTTCCCCTCTGTGTTAAGCACCTGCTGTCTTAAGGTTACTACCTCTGTGCTGCCTTTTAATGAATCCATGAGACTCTTATTTTAGAAACTTAAAAAGGTGAACTTAAGTTAGATTTTTGAATGAATGATGCAAAATTCTGCAGGTGAAAGACGACATTTTCTTTGTATTCTCCAAGGGACTTTTGAACAAGGTTTTTCCTCAATTTTTAAAACAACCCAGTATGCTGGTATAGACACAGGTGGAGTATTAGTTCAAAGAGTCTGCAGTCCCAACAGCTTGCCTCTGGTAGCATGATGCTTTCCAGTACTATCGTTCATATATATACACACACCCTCCTTGCAATAAAGTGTGTATGTACATATATATACACGCTCACATATATATATGTATATCACATATACACCCCCACCCCCACCCCCTTTGTAATAAAGGCAGCTCACAAACAGCGTTACAGTGGGTTGAATGAAAGAGAGAAGCTACTTTCATGTTCCTTTACACAGCTGTTTGGAAGGAAAACACACTGGTCTCAAAATCTGAACCTGCCTAACCTTTTCAAAAATTCTGCTCAGAGAGAACCTATTATTTTCTGTATGAAAATAATATACATTTAGGCTTTCCTGAGGAAAAGCTCCATGCCTTAAAAAACACCCAGATCTGCATGAATGTTGTTCTGCAGCAGAATGAGCTTCGTTAAACGGTTCTTTGGCAAGAAAGTGAGGTTTTAATACTGAAGTTTTTAAACACTGTTAGAATTGCAAGAAACAAAAAGATCACAGTGAGTAATAAACATGGACACATTGGCAGAGCTTTGTTTTATAGAAATAAAAACATAATTAACATTGGGCCCCAGCCAACAGGAAATCCTCAAGGGAAAGTGAAATGTTAACTAAGCTGTGGCAGCAGGATGCAGTTGTTTTCCCTCAAAATATCCCTACAGCCATTTGGATGGCAGAAATTGTTTTCCTTGAAGTTGTTTGGTCCGTGACAAACACCAGAGCGTATGACTACAATACAGGCAAACCAAAATATTAGAACCTTATGTAGATGAAAAAGGAAGAAATTGGGTAGAAAGGAGACTGTTTACTAAATAGTCACCAGTTAGTCTGCTAATAATAGAAAAGAAACAAGCTATAGATGGGGATGTCGTGTAAGAGGGAGATGTTATGTATATATTTAAGAGTCACCTGTAACCCTTAACCTTTCAAGTCTTCATTTTCTGAAAGGCATTCCAGTTCACGTGGCGCATCTCTTACCTTCCTGTACCACTCAGCATTAGGGAAGCTCTTACTCGGCTTTCAGCAATGAGCTCAACCTTGGGCGAGGGCAGGTTTCTCAGCAGCACCTGGCTGTCCCCCAGAACCTGGCTGTTAGAGAGCTGAGCACCCACCACAGGATTTTAGGTTTTTCCATGAGCATCCTAAAGGAGCTCAAAGCTGATGTGGTTTCAAATCCGTTCTGATGAAGGTTCAAAGTAAGGAAAACGCATCACTTCCATTCTCCGTTCCACACAAATTACGCGCCATGAACGACACATAAGCCACCGCTGAGACAACGGCCCAGGGTTACAAAAACAACAGAGAGATGTCGAGAGTTTTGGGATTTAGACCTTGTTCAGTTTTTTAAAACTTAAGCCCCTTGCTCTCTAGGAATCACAAAGACCTTAATTTTCGACCTAAAATCTCCACAGGGAAGCCTACGTTATCTTTTGTTGTTCCTTTTCTCAGCTGGAGGACGGGCGGTTGGAACCCTGCCAGGCTCTGCCCACCTAGTGGGAACAGAAGAGCATCAAGCCCATCCTCAGCATTTGGAGGAAGGATCTGGTGCCGCTTGTGATCAAAAAAATCTCTCTTTTCATCATCCCTGTTTGCAAAACCTTTTCTCACTTTTTATTCCCCTTGTTGCAAGAGTTAAAAGTGCTACTCAGAAATCATGCACAAGTAATTTAGATAAAAATTGAATCTAAATCAAAACCACTAGCTTTCTGTTCGTCTTTCTAAATAACCCATCAGTGGTTTTGGGAGCAAGCTCCTACAACCAGAAAGGACTATGTTTTTATCACATTATCCATCCGTCTGTTTGGTTTTTTCTTTTTAAGTAGAAAAAGAAAACTCCTGAGAGCATTATGCATTTTCATCGAGGGTATAGCAACATCTGCTTTCCATCAATAGCTTTTAAGTTCTGTATTCAAAGAATTTTGAGAACTTCTGGGGATGGGTGACAACTGAATAACAAGACTGTAACTTGGCCTCTATTTCTAAACTAACACAGTATAAACTCAAAACCCCAAAGGTACTTCTGCTCCTTTGTAAACAGGTAACTAGTGCTGTATAGCAAAATTTAAATCCACTTCTTCGCTTTCAGGATGTGCGACTGTGCCATCTTGCAGCTATGCCACACTTCCCTACTTATACAGGAACAGAATCCGTGATTCCTTATTCACGATACTTGCTGAATAACAGGGAATCATAAAAACGATGGGCAAAGCACGTCACGACCCATGCAGAAGAGAAAACGTCGGTGGTAGCTAGGTTAGTTCAAGTGTTGTAAGATTTTAGATGAGCGCTTAACCTGTGCCCTATGACACAGCCTTTAATTACACAACCATGTTTTGCATGGCAATACTGCACCTGGGAAAGAACAGTTGTTGGACAAAATTTGGTTGTGGATTACAGAAGTCTCCTGGCTACAGGATTCTTGTCGCCCTTACTGTAGAGGTTGGGAATGCATAGCCAATGGGACAGGGAATTGGAGTAGGAAAAAATAAGGTTAAACAGCACGACAACAAACCGCAAGCCCATGTCTGTGTCGTAGGAAAGCCGCTTGTTACTCGCTTCTCATCTTTTAGCTGTCCCAGATGGGACATGATTTGTAGATGTTTTAAGTCTCTGTAAATTTCCACAAAGACCAACAGGATATTGCTCTACAGCTGCTATGTGCTATATGCAATGTTAAAAATAGGTCTCCTGCACTTTCCACGGGGAAGCTAATAGGGTCACTTTAAATTACGGTTTTTGTGCTCTCTGTGTAAGATAAGCACAAGACTAGCCCCTCTCAGGCACAGTTAAAAGCAAAGATGGGCATAACAGAAAGACACAGGGGACTGCTCCTAGCTTCCATCCGCAGATTAGACAATAATCCTTCAAAACAATTCCACGTATGGCCTTTATATCGGTACCTATGTACACAACTGTAAGCCTATGCAAGCAAAAATACCCAAAAGGCCTAACTTATGCCCTCAATCGTTTGATCCAAACTGTATTTTAAATTGTCTTCACTATTACTCAGATACCCTCCTTCTTGCATGCTGCTTAAGTATATCCTGAGAGTTGGTTTTGCTTTAGTAGCTCAGAATCTTTCTAATTAACATTTTTGCAAGATGCACAATATTGCCATTTTAACCTAGTCATGTGGTAGCTGAGTGGATGGTTACAAATTAAGAAGCCGTTCGCTGACTGCAGAAACATACTACTTCAAAGAAACCCTTCCTTTGCTACCATCTATTCTCCAGAGGAATCGCCGCAAATTAATACCAGTTTTTAAATTTCATTTTCAAAATCTGAAGGACTCATAACAGTAACTTCTCTGCAAGGTGTTAGATTATTTGAATAGCATTAACAATACATTGCTGTATATGAACACTTTTAGAAGCATCAGTGTAACCACCCAAAAATCAGCTTAACAAAAAAGCCAACCAAAAAACTCCACCCAAAACCCCACTTCCATGGTATCTCCACTCCAATGCAGAAACTTGAATTGTCAGTTTCGTGGGTAAAGTTTCGAATATGGATGAAACAAGTTTAAGGTATACGAATTATAGATCACATATGCTGGACTGACCTAGTACAAACCTATTTAAAGATTTCACCTTCTGGAACACATATCATTCTATTAAAATAGATACTCTCAACTGTTAAAATATTTGACCAGAGCAGGAAAAATGAGACTATTTTTACAGAGACATTACAGTAAGTCTGAATTATTTCAAAACATCAAAAGAGAAAAATGATGGAAATAAGAGAAGTAAAACAAATCCCACTTGGAGAAAAACATGGTTAAAAAGTCAATATTTAGCCATGACCAAGACGAAACAAAAACTTGGAGAAAAAAAATCAGATTAAGAATTTCAAAGAGCATTGCAAGATTAGATTTATTTTGAGAAGTCTGTAGTCATGATATAAAGCAGGGCTGCTACTATCATTTAGTTAAATACCTCTCCCCTAAGCATTTTCCTGATTTTTTTTTTCCTCATTTTTATTCCTTGCTGCTTGTCTACAACAGTACCTTGTCTTCGATTAGAAAAAAATCCTAGATGCCTAAAAATTTGTCTTTGGAACACAGCTGAATTTAGAATAACTTTTCCCAGCCACCCTGAATATTAACATCTTAAACCAATCCAGCTTTATGAGAATCACATAAAAGTCCAGGATACTACCCATGCTTGAGACCTCAAGTATGGAAAAGAACCGTTTCTTCATAAAAGACAACAAACAGGAGACAGAGAAAGAGCAACACACTAGATTCGTGCAACTGTTAAAAACCATCTGTTGCCAAGAGATATGGTTTGCAGGAAAGAAACAGATGCATACTGTCTAAAAAGAACATAGACTCAGCAGTGGCAACAGAAGACAAATAAGAGACAAAAGGTTAGCAAAAAGACCCCAAACTCTCAAATGGTTGAATTAAAAGAAGGTGCCAAGTAACTGTGGAAGAGCTGACAAGATAGGTAAGCATCAACAAGCTAAGGACCTAGCTCGTTAGTGACCAGACATTGCTTCAAGCCTTTCTTATGTTCACCCGGGTTACGGAAGCCTGCGTGTCAGGTTCTGTCCTCAAGACAAGTTAACACCGCTTCAGAGTAAATGAATAAACTTACTCTGTGACAGAAATACAGGATTTCTATCTTTGATGCATAACTACACACTGATCAGGCCAAATAAACAGCACTTGGTAATCAGTACTGGTATAAAAGTATCTTATAAAACTGTTTTCATACCTGGACCAAGCAGCGGGGACCGGTTCGGCTGGGCACTTGACTGGTGCGATGGCTGAGGTTCAACCATATTTGTGTTGATAATGGTGCTAGTGGTGGTGGTATTGGTTGTGGTACTGCTCTGAATTATAGGATTATTTCTATCCCACATATTTACAGTCTTGTTGTTGTTGTAATTTGGGTCGCCCCAAGCTGAGGTACCATCATCGATTTCCATCTTGCGGCGAATGGACGGTGGAGATGGCTCTTCCCAGCCAGTTGCCTCACAGTTCTCTTTTTGTTTGGCTGGCACTGGCCCACCAACCCACCCTGACCCCGTCTGTTTTACAGAAGCAGCTCCTCCCCAGTTACTCACATTGTTGTCCTGGGGTTTATTAGCCCAATTTTGTTGGGGGCCTGGCTTTAAAGATTCCCCCCAACTTGTACCTGTATTAGCCTTGCTGTTTGTGCCATTTCCCCACCCACTGGTCCCAGACCTTGTGGAATCATTCCAACCAGACCCTGATCTATTGTCAGAATCCCATCCAGATCCATTCTTCTTCCCATCACCCAAGTGTCCAGGAATAGATGATGAATCTGTCCAATCTCCACCTCCTGAAGTCCAGCTTGGATTTGATTTCTGTCCATCTCCCCAGTTTTGAGATTTGGGTTTCTGAGGTTCACCCCAGGTAGGTGATTTGTCCTCCTGATTTGCGGTCCCACTCCAAGCGTGGCCGCTTTTGGCAGCAGCAGCATTATTAACAGTAGTAGAGCTTGCTGACTCTCCCCATCCCCCTGGGCCATTTGGTGCTTTGTTGTTATTGTCTCCCCAACCTGTATTTGTTGGAACAGCTGCCGGTGGAGAGTTGACCCACCCAGATACTGAAGAGGTATTTGTACTGTTCATGATGGACCCATCGTTCTTCCCCCCTGAGTTTGAAGATTGAGTAGCTGCACAACCCCAGGCCTCTGTTCCATTGTCATTCTTTCGTTCGGACCTTGGGGACTCTTCAAATTCCCAGGCAGTGTTTTGCTTCACAGGGGTCTGTCCCCACCCCGTATTGGACAGGACCCTGGGGTCAAGGTCATTTCTTGGCAACTGAACTTGCCCTTGGTCTATCATCCCTTTGTCTCTCCTCCTGCCCTCTCCAGCCCCCTCCCTCCCAGTACTGCCTTCATTTTGACTCCCACCGCTGTCGTTACTTCCTTCGCTAGCTGTGGTGCCAGATGCTGCAGCTTTGGCCCAAGAGTTTATTTGTTCATTGCCCTGCTGCATGGCAGGATTCGGACTGGTAACACTAGAGCTATCCCACCCTGTTGATCCTTTCCCATTGATGTCACTACTGGAATGCTGGTTTGGGGGCTTGCCCCATTCACCGTTCACACCGTTACTGGTGCTACGGTTGGGGTGGCCCCAAGCTCCAGAATGCATACTACCAACACTGCCGTTGCCACCGCCCCTGCCCCACGGTAGTACCCCAGGACCAGAAGGAGGCCCCGAATCCCACGCGCTCGCTCCATTTCCTTCCTTTTGCACAGCACTGCTGGATCCATTTTGTTTAGCACTTAATGCTGAGTTCACAGTGTCTCCATTCCCCTGACTGAACCCAGAATTGCTGTTTCCTGTGGCAGGATTACCTGGGGACATCCCCCACACTGAACTGCCCATTCCTTCACCACTGCCCCCGCTGACTTGAGAAACTGATGTTCCGTTAGCACCAGGAAGGCCTTGCAGGTGGGGCGGGATGATGGCCCCCATACCAACAGCCATCCCCCAGTTCGGCAGTCCATTTGTCTGCATTGCATTGATAGGGTTTGGTGAAGAGTTCATGGGGTTAGTGTTATTTGGTCCATCAGTGTTAAGGTTCTGAGGTTGTACGCTGAAAGACACATTCTGAGAAGTGGACGTTTGTGGTTCTGTGCTCTCTTGCGGCAGCAAGTTTCCCCAAGCACCTAAGGTGCCTGTTGGGTTCCCATTCTGGTTGCCCATGTTCTGACCTATGGCACTGACTGGACTGCAAATACTGGAAGGGTTGCCTGCTCCCACAGTTCCTTCATGTCCAAGTACAGGCCAGGCAGCTGGATTGGCATTAGGGTTAAGGTTAAGATTAATGCCAGCATTTGAGTTGGAAGCACCCCAGCAGTTCTGACTTCTACCATCTCCCATCATGTTGTCCATCTTTCCATCCCCACCACTGGCAGAGCAGTGAGCTAGGCCAGAGCTGGAGCCCGCAGCCACGCCCCACACTCTGGCCGAGTTGCCGTTACCGTTTGCTCCACCAGCTCCAAGGGCACTCTGGTTAGAAGTGCTTTGGACGAGTGCTCCGTTGGCGCCATTATTGCCATTAGTTTTCTTTGTATGTCCAGTGAAGTTGCCTTGGGCACTCCCTGTAGCCATGCTACTGTTCTCTGAGCCACAGTTGGAGGCAGAGTCAGTGTCTGTAGTACATTCTGAGGCAGACTCAGTCTCAGCTCCGGTAATGGAAGGCCACGCTTCCTTGTCAGTCCTGTCTATTATCACTTTATCCCAGCTGCAGTTGCCTTCACTCCTGAAAGCGGGCTGCTGTCCCCAGTGGGAATTCTCATAATGGTCTCCCAATCCACTGTGGCTGAGATCTGAAAGGATCCAACAAGGTTAAAAATGAGTCCACTGTTCAAGCACTGCAAAAGCCCACTATTAAGTATTATTTTACATTGCTAGTTACAACACTGCATTCTGCTAAAGTTTAGAGTACATTCTCTAACATAATACAGCAATTTTCCTCACTACAATAAAGCACGATGCTCATATTTAGGGTTTTTTTTTTTAAATCTGGCAAAACTTTCAATTAAAATAATGGAACAATTCAGTTTTAGAACAGAGCAACAAAAGTGTTTTGTATCCCTTAGTATACTAGTAAAAATAATAAGCAGGCAATAAATAAGGACAGCAAATACACTAAATCTATGTGAGAAATCTAAAAAGCAAATTTGGAAAAAATGCTGAAGAGTATCTAGCAGACTTACCATTTATTTTGACTCAATTCTCATTCTCCAGAACAAAGAAAGAGCATTCAATAAAAAATGTAAAATGTCTGCCTGCCATTAGACACTACATGCATACCCACATCACACTCAACACACTAAATTCATACTCCATTTAGGTTTTCAACCCTTCCTGTAAATAAAGAAACAAATATGGACCACCATGTTTATATTCAGTGTCAATTACACATTTAACCACCACTACTGTAACTTACATTCTAGCAGAGAACTTGGCCATTTCTAAGTAGCAGACAGTTTTGTAGAGAAACTTCTCTCTTACAGGATATACATGCAGTTTAAATATTCTTTTGCACTTGCACATGCAGTCCAATTTCTCCCAAACCCAATGAAAATCAACGCTATGTTGTACAGATACTCAGAAAACAGGCTTTCCAGAGGACCGCCCACATCCTCACACATGGGACACTGTTGCTTGCTAGGGTGCAAACTTGAACAGGAAGACACAACACTTGTCATGCTAACAACTCAAGCTTAGCTCCAGTTTTTGCATTTCCTTTCCATCCTGATTGCTCTCTACAAGATTTCTAGTACAGATTACTCCTTTTAGTTGCTTTTGATGGGAATTTTATAGCAAGTAATTCAGTCTGATCCTGGGGATACGTACTAGAGACGATTTGCAGAACAGTTCCTCTTTGTTGTCCAAGTAAGGGGAAAGTTACAAATTTTGGATGACTTATTTTTACATGCTGTAAATCTGTGGAAACATGACTTACTTTTTATGATTTGAATAAGAAGAATGTTTTATAGGGAAAATGGATGCAACAAATCTCCCAACTAAGCTGTTAACAGTGGATGCCTAATATGCATTAATTTAAATCACAAATATTTTGGTGTGATCAGCTCCTCTAACTGCCTCCAATTAGAGGTGTTCTAATACTGCAAAAAAAAATGTTCCAACAATAAAAAAGGCGCTCTCTCTTTGACAAAGTCTTATTCACACATTTGACCTGTAGCTTTTCAAGAAAGGGGACTGGTTGCCTCATGAAGATTTATCAAGATGAAGAAAGAACACACTAAACCACGACAGATTGCATCCACGTTTTACATTTTTTAATTTAAATCAATTGATGCAAAAGTACGAATGTTAAAGGAAGGACAGGAAAACAGTCTTAGCTCATCACCTGTCTTCTCGCAACGCCAGGAAAAGCCTAGTATGTCACAGAAAAAGCTAAATAATTGATATGTATGACAAATCCAAAAGAGAATGTGAAAGGAGCCGCTTGGATTTACCTGGATTCTTTCCCCTAAATGCGATGACCAGAAATTAAGAAAGCATCACATCATTCTTGGATAAAGCCAACCAGTTACATCACAGAGCTAAGGAATTAAGGTTGAAAATTTACCTGATAATCTAGGTTTGCTACACAGGTGTTAAATAGAGACCAGAATCCCAGATAAGGCATGGAAAGGAAAGGAAGCTTGCAAAATGACTTAAAAAGGGTCGACAGGGTCAGAAAAATGAGCCAAGCAGCATTCTTAGTAGAGTAGGAATGAACAAAGGCAAAAAGCAGCGGCAGTCCAGGCCAAAAGATAAAGAAGTTGAGGCAACCAAGGAATCAGATAAGAGGAGTTATGAGAGAGGGTTTTTTTTTTCAACACTGTGGGCGGTGAGATTTGGCACTACATTTCAGACGTGACAGAAAGATTTAAAAGTGGCTTGAAATACATTGTTCCAATAAAAAGGTCTTGTCAAAGCCAAAAGCTAAGCTACATGTGCAAGTGCCTGGGAGAACGACAGTGGTGCCCAAGGCAAGCGGGAGCATCTGTGTGGGGCAGGTTTGTGAAGAAGGATCAAGAGCACAGTGCAAGACTTCTCAATACTCAAAAAAAAAATGGCACCAAGACCAACAAGATGAGATTAGAAGAGAGCTGCTTCTTTAATCATTTCTTTTTCTTTCTCCTCTCCCCCAGAGCTGGTGGTTAAAGCAATGCTCAAGTCTGAGAGCACTCAGGAGACAGAAAGTGAAGGGAAGGGGTGGGAATGGAACAGAAAGATGACAAAACAGTCTTTAGAGTAGGGAGTAAAATGATTCATTAAATAAGATGCCAGAATTTTGAAGAGCAGTCAAAGAAACAAGAAGGAAAAAAATTACGAGCAGGAAGAACTATAAAACCCAAGAGATGCCCATATTAAAAGTAGAAATTGGCCAAGTGCCTCAGTTTGGATAAGCACATCTACTCCAGACAGTACCACACCAATTATATTTGTCTTGGAAGCAGCACACTTGCAGCTCAACCCCCTTTGCTTTTCAAGGGTTTGCAACTCCATCGTTACTCCCTTTCATGCACCATCAGCATAGTTCCCTCTTCTTGAGGTTCAGATTATGCCCTCAACAATAACCACTGATTAATCTGAAAGTGGTTACTTTGATAGGGATTACAATAATTCCCTGTAGGTGACAAAATAAGCCAGCCCGCCCTCGAGCAGCAGTTTACCTGAGCTGCACCCTCCTGCTCCGGAGTCAGCGGGACCAGGCTGGTACCTTTCACAAGTCATTGATTCAATCAAAAGAGCAAAAACAAGAGACATGCAGTAACTTCATGTCCAAATATTTACTGGAAAAATTGGTTCTAACACCAAAGGCTGCTGCTATAAAGCTTCTAAGAAACAGGACAGATAAAGAGAATGAAAAATCAGTCCCAAAGCAAACAGAAAGCTGCAAAAACTGTGACACTGCTGCCAGACAAACATAACAGTTTGAATACAGAACTGATCCTGAAGAGAGTAATTTTTATATTCTTGTCTCTAGAAGCAAATAATCAACAGACGTTTTTCCATCGTCTCTAAACTAAAAGGATTAAATAACTAGTAGTGCAGTCCTACTTAATCCATAAGGACTTTAAACGTTTGGGAAAAACAATGAAAGCAAAATATTTTATATGATTGACTCCAGACAATTTTGTTTCTTTGGGTTTTTTTTTGAACACACAGATTTCCTCCAACTTTCTAGGAAACCAAGTCTTCACAGAAATGGAGGATATTTTCTTTTTATTTTCAAAACTGTTAAGACTGAGATGGGAAACCCATTTAAAAAATTCCTCTTTATTTACACAAAGATCAGAAATAAAAGCACTGCAGTCCACCAGAAGCATTTCTATCCTTCCTCTGTGAACTCACTTTAAACAAAGCGTGGGGAACAGGAACCACAGGTATTTTGTGTTAGCAAATCTTAATGCTAGTGCATCGCAAAGTGAAATTGATTTTTAAATTAACACGTTGTGTTTGAAAAGCTTAATTATGCATCTTTTATAAAATACAGTTCCCTTGATTAACAACATTTCTTCAGCAATCAAGAAGGAAAAATTAATCTGAGGATCACAGCTCAAATTTGTTCTAAACAAGCATACAACTTCTGTCAAATTGCAATCATACGTGCTACCTGAAAAATACAGGCTTTGATCAGTATTACCAATAAGCATGAGGGGTTTATTTTTTTTCTTTATAGTTTTTTTTTAATATAATATCCTTAATGGCGTGGGAGGAGATTGCTGGGTGTTATTACATACTGTACCCAACGTACTTTACCAACTTCAATTTAGTACTTATTAAAAATAGAAAACATTTTTGGCTGTGTTTGATAATGAATATGAGTAATTAGCTGCAAAATGTTTGATGTTTACATAGATTACAAATGTAAAATATGAGTAGAGTGAAACAGGAGAAGCTGTTGCATGCATTTCTTAGAAAAGCAAAATACTTTGCCTGCACAAGCAATCTACCCAAAACTTCAATCCTCTTCTGAAAACGTCATTTACAATAGTATTTCTTTTCTTTTTATTCAGCAGAGTTAGCTGTATCTTCCTAACTTCCATTACAGTAATCACTTTGAATGCTGCGCAGAAAATTATGCATCCTCAACTGTAATAAAACATTCACTTGATTTCTATAATAAAACATTCAGCTGATTTAGGAACCAAAGTATAAAGAGGGTGAAAAATGGCAACGCCTGAGATAAACTTTTAATGAGAATCATATTATTAGTAAATTTTGCTCAACTCATTTTAAATCAGATCTAACAGCGACTCCCTCTCTAATTACTAGTCTTATTTTTCAATTCACGTTAGCGTAACAACCACCAGATTCATTGGCTCGTCCTGTCCTGCCCAAAGGACAGATTACAGGCGATGTTGTTCTTCGCTTTGACATGCAGAACAGAGAAAAATCCCAAAGGCCAGTGACAGTCCTACTGGGGGTTTTACTTGTCACACAAAGGTTAGTTATTCTGAGTAGGAAGTTGAGAAAAAAGGGCATATTACCTTCTCCCCCCAAAACAAACAGATTTCAATTCAACATGAACAGATCCTTAAAAGACTACACATGATTTTTTTCTAAATCTAAATTAAATAGGAATTGCCAGAAACATTTTAAGTGCTAAATGAAATGCAGACTAATTTCATAAATGAAAAAGATGGCACAAGCATCTATTCTGAAGAACGAAATATAATAAAGTAGGAAATCTGGGAACTGTAGTGCTAATATTTCAGGTTACCTGCTACATCCAGCTCTATGCACAGAGACAGAGGACAAATTTGAAAAAATGTCACCTATTTGAAGCACTTATAAAGCT